TTGCAAAATTCGAACATATGTCATAGGGTTATGCTAAGCAATTTAAAGTAAGCTCTTATATATGACAAAATATCGGAAGTTATAAGTGGCAGAATGGCATCGATTAACATAATTATGGTAACAATTCAATTCAGCCAGTTGTGAAGATAGGCGACACTTTTCGATATGTATGATGTATGAGTGTATGGTCAGCAATTTAAAGTAACTTGGACAATAGTAGAAGACGGAAGTTATACATATATAATGGCATAATTAACACATGGTAACAATTTATTGTTACCGTGGGTGATTAAATGGCAAAATTTCCGAACGCAGTGATGTATATATGAGTTATGGTAACAATTTTAGGTAACTGTGGCAAATATGAGACGGTAGTTATAACATAATTACAGGAGTCTATCAATATTGATAGACTCCTGATCATATAATGGCATGATTATTACCATTTACAGTAATTTTTTTCCAATTACTGAATTATTTAAGTATCTGAGTGAGATTGGCAATGATAACAATTTATGGTGACTGTGACAACTAACCGATATATGGCAGCTGATAGTTTGGTATCAATTTAAAGTAACTGTGGTTATGTATAGTGATGTATGAGTTATGGTCACAATTTAAAGTAAAGTTCTGTGATAAGTAGAAGGCGGAAGTTATACACATATATGGCATAATTAACACATGGTAACAATTTATTGTTACCGTGGGTGATTAAATGGCAAAGAATTTCCGAAACAGTGATGTATATGAATTATGGTAACAATTTTAAGTAACTGTGGCAAATATGAGACGGTAGTTATAACATAATTACAGGAGTCTATCAATATTGATAGACTCCTGATCATATAATGGCATGATTAATACCATTTACAGTAATTTTTTGAAAATTACTGAATTATTTAAGTATCTGAGTTAGATTGGCAATGGTAACAATTTATGGTGACTGTGACAACTAACCGATATGGCAGCTGATAATTTGGTATCAATTTAAAGTAACTGTGGTTTTGTTAATGTGCTGGTGTTTACCAAGATTTACCACTCACCCATACGTTGATGTGTCAATAATGAGCCTGGTACAGTTCATAACTAAGCATATGCTAGTAGTGCACACCCTGTGCAGGAAAGAAGATAGGCTCAACAAGGTTCAAATGTACACTGTTATCGCAGTAACAATTTTACTGTAAGCTGAAAATGCACGGTTACTATTTCTAACAACCTCCTGACTGTGGCAAGCAACATGTCCCGGGTCAATGTCATCCATTCTTTCCTTGTAGATCTTCTGATCTTTCGCAGTGGACTAAAAGGATCATCATTTGCAATAATCAGAGTGCAATAAACTTTTGATTAAAACGTAATAATTATATGATATTTAATAGATGGTCAGATAGATTGTAGAATGAGCCGTATCACGGCCTGGTAGTGGTATCGAGCGCAGTTGTATAGCTTTGTACTCTGAGTTGAGTGCTTTAGTCCCGGTTGTTAGCTTTACCTCATAAACCTCATAAATACTCTTGAGCTTTGCAAATAAGTTCCATAGGTGACTATAACGAAGGACGGAGGGAGAAGTGAATCAATCGATCAATTCAACACTGTGCAGCGATTGCATGTGGGAAAACGTTGCAAATTTTGCAATCTTACGCAAAGATGAAGGAAGAGTAACTTCCAAACGGAATGACTGAGCACAAAGAAGCTAACCTTAAAAGGATTCCTTTAACAAGTTGACACGCCGAAATACAGCAGAGGAGTGCTCAGATGAGCGAGTGCATCAAACTCACGTGCGCTCGAAGGGGAATGTTTCAACTGACCCCTGATAAACAGGGTTCAAAATCCTAACGGGCCGCAGGTCCGTGCCCGTATTTTATAAGCTGCAGGCCTGACATTTCTAGATACTAGCAGGCCGCAACGGCCCGCATAGAAAATCCACCCCCAGCATGCAACTAGCAGCATCGCACTAATGATCTCAGCGCCGATTCAAAAAGAATGAGGCACGTATGCAGAAAAATTTAGAAGCACCTCACGCACAACTCTAGTCTTGGTACCACTTCAGAAACGGTGCGTGGGTGTTCGTACGCACAGGCTTTCCCTGAATCCAGACTTGAAGCAGGCGTTGGCTTCAAAACCGCCGCCAAAGGAAGTCACGGTACAGACAACACAGCTTAGTCCAAAGTATGTAAACTATATTATTATCGTTGGCTCTGCTGCAGTTCGTGGGTTCCACGTAAGAGTATCTCAAGGCAAGCATTTATGAACTAGGCCCCACCATCTCCCGCAAATACCCACCCATCTCCTATACCACTCATTCCCAAGAGGTGGTGCCGAGGGCAAAGTATTTAAAAATATATTACGCGCACGTGCAAACTGTAAGAAGAGTACGAAGAATGAGAATATTTCCACAGAGGAATTGAGCCTTCAATAATTATGAAGTGGAGACAGAGAAACAGAGGACTGTTTGGAAGTTTTTGCTGTGCAACTTGTGGCAGCTGTAGGTAATAAAAAGACAGTGGCAAGGCCGGTGACTAGAAGAAATAACGCAGGTCAAATTGCCTCGTATCCAGCTAAGGCCACAACACTCAAGAATGAGGTGAGTGTATGGGGGTGTGTGCCTGTGAGGTGATGTGAGTGTAGGTGAGGTGTAGATGTGTGTGTGTGTTCACAACTTTCATGTCTGGCCAGGAAAAACTCGACCCCTATCTTTGCCTGTATTAGGCGCCCTGATTCCTTAGATGTTTCACATTACTCAACGTTTTCATTGCTCTTGCCATGGAATTCCACACTTAACACCCCTACGGAGTCCATTGTTTTTCTCTGCTCCCTATTATGTCCAAACCATTAGCTTTATGCATTCAACGGTGTATTGCCATCCCACAGAAAAATGTACCAGTGTGGTGTGGTGTGAACGTGTGCGCGTGTATTCTCCGTCGTCATCTCTCTCTCGTTCTTCGAGTCACTCGCTTCTCTCTCGCTCGTGCAAGCTGTCAGTTCTCGCTTGTCTCCTCGCGTGTCTGTCCCGTCAGCTCTGGTCCTCGGAGTCCCATCTCGGTGCTCCCTCCTCTCTCTTTCTCCTGTCTCTCTCTCCGTCTCCCCTCGCGCTTTCTCCTCTGCTCTCCTCGGGGTCTAGCCGGGTCCTCTCCGTCTCGTCTATCGCTCTCCTGCTCTCTCTCCCACCTTTCTCCTCTCATCCCCTTCTCTGCGCTCACTCACCATCATCTGCTCCATCGCTCATCGCCGGATCTTCTTCGACTCCTGGTGGACTCTTCTCTTCCTCCTCGGTCTCTCTCTGCTCTCACTTACAGAGAGAGAGAGAGAGAGAGAGAGAGAGAGAGAGACAGACAGAGAGAGAGCGACAGAGACAGAGACAGAGACAGAGAGAGAGAGAGAGAGAAAGAGAACGACAGAGACAGAGACAGAGATAGGGAGAAAGATAGAGAGAGGGAGAGAGCTAGAGAGAGAGAAAGAGAGAAGTAGGAAGGGGAAGAGAGAGATGGAGAGAATGGGAGAGAGGGAGGAAGGGAGGGAGCGAGAGAGGGACAAACAAGTCAGGCAGGCAAACTGGCAGAAAAAAAAGCAGACGTATTGCGTATCTCTTCTTTCTAAATCTCAAAAAATATCTACCATTCTTGTATTCCTAAACCGGGCATCAACGTACTCATGTATCCGTGTATCTATCCACCCGCGCGACTCGTATACGCGTGAATTAAGAACTGAACGTTATCCTCCTCTTCTTCTGATTGCATGTTTTGCATCTTTGACAGACGGAGCACTCGTACAAGAGAAGCCCCAAGCTTCTCGCTCAGCTTCAGTACTGCGAGGAGAGGCAGATTCCCCTCGCCATCCTCATCGGAGAGTCAGAGCTGAAGCAGAACATCGTGAAAGTACGCAACGTCGTCACGAGGGAGGAGGTGAGAAGTTTTATTTTTTTCGCGCGCTGATTGTCGATGGGGCGGCTGCGACGCGTGGTCGTTTGAGTCGATGGGAGACTGGGTTTGCTATCCGCAATCTCTTTCTATCTGCGTGTGCGCGGATTTAGCAGTGCGAGTTGGTGGGATGAATGTGTACGACTGCAGTGCTTAATGTTGAATCCTTGTGTTGATGCGAGAAATTGCAGTATCGATTTCGCTAACACTCTGATTATCTGCTGACGAACTGTTGTTAAATGCTCGCGTTTGGTGCAAACGTTATAGACGGCATGTTTGCACATGTGTATATGCTTTGTCTGCCAGGTGGAAGTGCCGAGAGAGAAGATGGTCGATGAAATACGGAGATTACTAGGCGAAATTCAGGACAAGCCTTCAGGCAAGGTCATCTGATCATTCCTCAAGGTCATCATCAGGGAGACGGATGGTGCAGCAGGAGCAATAGGGGAGAGCAGACTCTTTAGCACACTCGAATTTGAACGCAGATTTTTGTCGACGCATTTTCCTGTGGAACCGTTCAAGTCGAGGGCACTTTTGAGTGTTTTTGTTGGAGACCTGTGCAGGCTTTAGCTGCTTGCGTTGTGCGATGGTGGCGTGAGATGTTTTTAGAGAGAGCGGTCACTGCTTAATTTTTGCACGCACGCTCGTCGAAGGATGTATATAAATACTGCAGCGTTGGTTCCGTATGCGGCTAAATTGTTACGGCGATGACTGTTCGCACTTCTGTGGTTCTAAACAGAGGGGCTGTCATCATATGGAATAGGTTCTTGTGAGCGCTAAAGCACTGGTTCAGCATCATACTTTTTTCTGCATGGTTGTTGGCATCGTATATCCTGTGAAATGGTATACCTTCTAGAAAACACTTGCCTAATAGAGCGACAGGGAGCCAATAACGTCATGTGTCAATAATAGCTGCGTCGTCTGACCTTTATGCTCTGTCTATAGCCTCCAGTGTGGCTGAAGGGGTCGTTGTCTTATCAGGTACTACATATATGTACCCGAGGTACATATATGTATACACAAAGTGTACCAGACTTGTACTACAGAAGTGTACCCTAACCCTAACCGGTAAGGGAGAAATCACCATGGAACTCACAGCGATGGTATATCGCTTGCTATCGGAGTCTTGGAAATTTTGGTCATTCGGGTTTCATTTCGTCATGTGGAAATTAATTTAATTTTGAGATAAATCCAAAACATTTACCGTAGCAACTGTTTCGACAGCCGAATAGCCTAATTTTGTTACATGGTTTCTTTAAAAAAAAATTTGTACCTTATCATATGTACAGCCCGTTTACTATATAACCAGTGGCAAGGCTAAGCAAAGCATTTTAGAGCAGAGAGGAAGGTGTGCGATATGTTAACATGGGCCTACATTCTGGTGAAATATTGTTGATATAATTCCAATATGTCGACATTTCTCGTTCGGAAATCATGAGAAATAAATTCGTTTGCACGAAATATTGCTTTTTTTGTAAGTTGTTTATCGGCTGAATTATATCACTTTGTTGGTTAATGTGTTCGTATTTATTTGCAGTTTTTGTAAAATGGTGTAATCGGATGAATAAACTGAAAGATAACCATTTATGCAAATAGTCTGTTCACATCTTGTTAGCGACGTTTTAGGTGTTTCCAGCGATTAGGTCATTACGCAGCTTCGCTAAACACGCACTTTATTATCCTAAAATGATATAATGGTCTATAAATCAACACTCGTAGAGGATTTGTGAAGTTTCGTAAAATTCGTATATTTAGTGTTTTTTTCTTTCGGAGATCGTATACATCTGGTTTGATATGAAAAATAACGATGCTGACACCTAATTACTTTAATTACTTTAATAGATAATTAAATGAATAATTAATGCCAAGGTCCGTAAAATTAAGTAAAAATGAGCATAATTTGGGGCGTCAGAGTCTCCAGTAGGGTGTTCTAAAACAATCTGACCCCGATTTCTTTCTATATATATAAAGACGTCCTGGGTTCCTTACATCCCGGTTCCCCGCAACGATGAATAAATGGCTTTCCGTGCCGCTGGTCGGCGCTGGTGTTGTGCATGGAATATAATCATAGAAGTAAAGAGAGAACTCTCTTCAAGAAGAGTTCTGAGTGAAGAGAGAACTCTCTTCAAGAAGAGTTCTAAGTGAAGAGAGAACTCTCTTCAAGAAGTGAAGAGAGAACTCTCTTCAAGAAGAGTTCTAAGTGAAGAGAGAACTCT